ACAAAAAATTGCCATAATTATTTACATTAAGACCCGTTTTAAAAAAAATTCAATACTAACATGCAACCCAAAAAAAAAACAAAAAAAAATTATAGAAAATTTGCATAATTATAGCAAATTTTAAATAAAAACCGTTATATTTTATAAAATCTTTAATTATATAATTTATTAAGTAAAAGAAATCTATTAAAATAATTTACCGTTAATATTATCAGAAATGGGAAATGAAATTGTTTAAAATAACGGTAAATTTTTTATTTATGTAGTAACCGTATTTAGACAAAAAATAAAATAAATTTAGAAATGAAACTGGCGAAAAAATCAAAGTTCATGGTTATATAATTTTTTTAATTTGAAATTTATTTTTTCAATAAAATTAAAAAATATTGCATAGATTTAGGTGTGTGATTGTTGTATGCTTTTTCCCCCCCTTTTTTTGGAAATTTCTTCTCTTTTATAATATGTGTTAGAGTTTTATAAATTTTAAAAACTGGTACCTCTAGCTCAATAAATTTAAAATTGTAAATTTTATATAATAAGCACATATGTATGTATGTAATTTAAAACTACCAGGTACACGCACTTGTAACAATGTGTATAAGTTCGAAATTTCATAAAAATCACATAATCATCAGATTTTACAGATAAGTATTAAAGATTCCTTGTGATTATGATAAGAAATTACAGTAAATTACAATTTTAAAGTTCATACAAAAACTTTATTTTTATATTAACAAGACTTATTGTTATAGATAAACTCATATTTAGCCACCAGATGTCATAACGTATACACACAATACTTATTTCAAATTACTCTAATTGTTAATATTGAATATATTTAAAATTTTATAGTTAGGTAGCTATATTAAAATTCGAAAACAATTTTGTTTCAGTCAAACACATTTAATCTTTCATAGTAAAATTTTATTATTTGTAATACACTTCCGTCCCAACGATAATTCAAAAACTAATTGAGCTAAGCTTTCCAAATTTTCACTCAATCATATCCATTTGAATTGAATGTGATTCAGACAGTGGTTCGGGTAGCTGCCTTACAACTTTAAAAGTTATTTGGCATTATTTTCAGTTAAAAAATTTGAGATGGTATAAGGCAATGTCGTAACTACCATATATGTATAAAATAGTGTTATGCATCTAAAACATTAAGGTCGTGCGAAATAGTGTGGCAATTACAACAAATTTGTTCATTCGCACAATCAAATAAAATTCATTCGTACAGGTTTCACAAAATTGACACGATCAACTCTATACACCTATTCTTGTTCTACTTAAAGTTACATATTGTGTGCAATTAACAAATTTCATTTTAGCCATTAAGTTTTATTCGAGATTCCATTTGAGTTGGACTTCTTCCGCACTCTTTGTACCTACACCTTTCAGTTTATTCGTACTCTATCCGTTACTCTATATATAATCAAATGCAAGCAGGTACTTACTCATCGAATACACATAATTTTAAATCCGTGAGAATATTATGACATAAGTGAGAGCCTATACATACATAGATATTATTAAAATTATTTAATATGGTCGAAAAGAATTCATATTTTGATATTCAACTGATTATGTAATAATTTTTTTTTTTTTTAAATTATTGAAATATTGCAAATATTTTATGAATAAAAATCAATAATAAATTGGTATATAATAAATGTCAAAATTGCAAACCATTGCCTAATTAATATAATTTTCAAATTTATAAAAAAAAAAATTAAAACTGTACAGAAAAGAAAAAGAAAAATAGCAAAAAAAAAATGTATGACAACCTAAAGCCAGACATTTTGTATTTTTTTTTTTTGCACACATTTTCGAAATTCAAAAAATACAACAGACATAGTCACAATAAACGATAATTTATTACATTGTATTTAGTCAGATCACCTTGTATTTTGTGTTTTTTTAAGCAATATGAAAAAAAAAATGAAAAATTTTTTTTTTTTTTAGTTCAGCCTTTGATTGAAGAAAAGCTTTAAGTTAAACAGCTGTTATTACTAATATCTATATATTTACATATATGAATACATACATAGCAATGTTAAATGTATATTAACGTGTGTATATGTAAGCATTTGTTAACATAATGTGTAGCAAATTGAATTAATTAATTTTTAGGCTTTGCAAGTATGATAAAAAATTTACGAGTATGTTTGTATGTAAGTATATATGTAATTGTAATATGTAAAAGCATTTGTTTTTTGTCAAATTTGTTACAAATAATTTTTAATAAATATTTATTAATTCAAAAAACCATTTCGCTTTTCTTCTTTAAATTTTAAATTAAAATTTTTTATTATATTTTTTTTTTTCTAATTGGAATAAAATTCGCGTCGCGTCGCATATTGCGTTTTGTACACGTAAACAAATTTTACCATAATATGCAAGTATAATTTTATAAATAAAATAATTTTAAATTTAATATTGCTGTAAATGATTAATTAATTAAATATTTCACAAAGAACACCCAGAAATTTCTTGAAAACTAGAAATTTCTAGAAATTAAATTATTTATTGAACATATTATTTAGCTGGTTCTTACAGAGTCCATATAGAAATTTTTAGTTGCAATATTTAAATGAAATAAGTATTAGAGAAAATTAAATCACACTAGCCTATTCCTCAAATAATTGGGGGAGAATCGAAAAAATTCAATATCAATTTATTTCAATAAGTAATTTATCGCTACATCATATTACTTAAATCATCTCGGTCGGTAAAATTTCAAATTTTAAAGACATATTGCTGATGTCTCAAATTTAAGAAAATAATGCAGTACATATTCAAAATTTTCTTGGAAAATATTTGCATAATGTCATATTTTCGAGACACATTTCATGCGAAACAACCGAAATTTACAGACTTAATTGACTTGAATTTTATATTTGAAAAATAAAAAGAAAAGTAATTTTTCAACCTAACCAAATATCTGACAACAATGTCTTCCCTTCTACAGATTGTACACTTTCTTAAATAATTTCCAACAAAAAAAAAATTTAAAACATTTTACCCATAGGCCATAAGAGAATGTGATTATAAAAATGTCATTGACAGAGACTACAAACTCAAAATCAACTTAGAGCTATCGACATAGGTATATATGTACATCATATATCACTATATACTGCAATCTAATCTAATTAAATTAAATGTATAGCATATGATTTATGTGTGTATATAAATATTAATTATGCATTTGAATAAATCACCGAGCAGTTAACATTTTTTAAGTGGGTTCAATTATATGTGCGTAAAAATTAATATTATTTTTTTTTTTTTTTTTGCTAGAACTCTTAACCGGAATTATAAAATAATTTATTATAAGTAAAAGTAAAAGCTTAATTATGTTTGATATTAATGTATGGTTGTCAATAATTAATAATTGTTCATTTCACAATTTAATTGTCGAATGCATTAATTATACATTATGGCGATTACTAACCATATTTAACAAGTGAATGGTTAACATATATTTTATTTTTTAATATAGACATTTTGTTTTCGTCTATAATATACTATTATTTATTTTTAAATGCTTTTTGTAACACCTTTCTTTACGTTATGTAATCGACCTTGCAAAATATTTTTTGCCTACATTTAATTATATGCTTTTCTACAATATTTAATGAAAATATGTGCGTTTATGTGAAAATTACAAAAATGTGCGGCAAACCTTTGCGGTTACAAAATTTTAGAATGGTAAGATTGTTATAAAGCGTAAATAGTCATATGTGACATATTCTTAATAATAATTTGATTATGAATTGGCCAAATTAATAAGATAATAAATTAAATTCTACCCAATAATTTCTATGTACCATGGTACATTTATGGTACTCACACATTAATAAAAAATATTAGACTATTTAGATTTTTTTTAAATTAAAGTACATAGTTACTTGTATTTGCCCAAAATATCGAATAAAATTTGCTTAGTATTTTTAAAATAAAGTAAATTTGTCAAAAAAAAAATCCAATGAAAATTTCTGAGGAAAATTGCTTGGTACACCAGTGGATAATTGTATGGTACAACTTAAACTGGTGGATGAAATTCCAAATTTAGTCAAAAGAGAAATCATACTAATAATTTTAACAATAGTTATTAAAAAGATAGATATTTACAAGAGTTTAGGTCAAGTAATTAGGAGATTTAAATTAAGTAATTTGTAAAATACTTAAAGGTATGTAGATATAATTAATTAACATTGTAATTTATTCATGTGACTTAAGTATGTCCATGATTTATGGCTAAGAACTTTGATTTAATTTTTTTTTTATTATTGTAATTAAATTAAATCAATTATTTTCATGACCTACCATAACAATATTTAAATTTATTTTGCATATAACTTGTAATAAATTTTTTTTGTTTATTGAGTGCAAGAAAACCGGTACTTCATATAAGTATTAAAATCTCACCATTCTGTTTATAATGCCGAGAAATAATTATGTATATTTTGAAATTGCGTTTAAAACCACCCAGGTTTTCTTTTGGCCAATCGTAACGGCTAGAAGTCAGAACAGCTAGAATCAAAAGTCAATTAAAGGACTTACAAACTGGTAATTTTTCTACTGTTACAAGCAGACAACATCCAAAATTGATTTTAATAATTATTCCTTAGTAAGTCTATAATGTAAGTAAAAAGAATTGTTTCGAATGTATGATAACTTCAATTTGGCAGTATTCTAACTTCTCTATTGAAAAAGACTTTTTCTTAAAAATTATTAAGATTTTCTAAACCCACCACCATGGAATACTCACTTTTACTCTCGTTTTTTAAACTTTTACTCTCGCTTTGTTTTTATTTATTTCATTTATACGTTATAGTTATACAGGTATTTCGACTATAATTCTGACTCTAGGGTCTTAATATTAAAAAGTAAAAATTTAAGAAATAATTTTAGTAACAATCAAATATAATAAATATAAAATTAAAAATTAATTAAAATTTTTATATAATAAAATTAAATAAAAATAATCTTACCTTTTTTTTATATATTAAAAATAATAATTAATTTATTAAATAATCCACAATTTGTTTAAAAAAGAGAGAAAAAAAACCGAAAAAATCTCATTCATATAAAGTTGTTGATTGTTGAAATTTAAGTTGATGTTGTTGTTATTTTTATAATTTTAATCCTTTGAGTTTTGTTTTTTTTTTCCTTTTAAGATCACTTTTAATTTATTTTGGGGTTGATGTCTGTGCTAATTATTCGATAATTAATTTAGACAATGTAGATGCGTCTTAGTTAAAATTTAATTGAATCATTTGTTTATATGTGTGTACAATTGTATATATTATGTATTTTATAATAATTTTGTTTTATTTTAAATAAAAATTTGATTTCTTTTCCTTTTCTTTGATTCTTTGTTTTTTTTTTTTGTATTTTCTTTGACACTCTTAATTTTCAATCAAAGTAAAATTAATTTTTTTTTGTAATTTTATAATATAAAATTTATGTTAATCTTTTACATATACAAAATATTATATTGTGATTTTTTTTAAGATAAAAACCCAAATTAAATTAAAATTAAAAAACAACAAAATGATAATTAAAACAAGAGCGGCATAAAAAAAAAAAACACGGCAAAAAAAACACCTTATGTATGTATTTATGTATATGTATATAATATTATAAGTATACGAAATTCACATAAAATTCACTTTTATCGTATATATATATTATATATGTATATATTTGTATATATAGATATTTATTTTATGTATATATAATTATATATTTTTCATATATATCATCATAAAAGAATTCAAGGGCAATACCACATTTGATAATAATTAAAAAAAAATAAAAATTTCTTATATTTTTTTTTTATATATAAAATGTATTTTTTATATATATTAACTATGTAAGTAAGTAAGTAAGTATGTATATGTAATTTTGATGACGTGTAATTTTTATAACACTATTATATTTTATATATTTAATATTTTTTTTTTTATTTTTTGTTTTCATTAAACATTAAAAAATAAAATCTTAATAAGGTTGACAGTAAAATCAAATTTTCGAATTTTTTTTGTAAAGTTTCTTTATGATGAAACAAAAATGGCATATGTAAAACATAAAAAATAATTTTGTTATATTTTTTAAGAATCTATATATATATATATATTTGTATAAGAATGTATGTTTAGAAAAAATAGAAAACAAAATATTGTACAAAAAAAAAAAAATAAAAAATTACAAACACAAATTCAAAATATGTAAAACGAAAAAAAAAAAAAATTTTACAATACAAAACGTTTTTTTTTTTTCCAAAATAGCTATTTGACATACACATTAATATATTTGTATTATACTGTAATATTATGCACAAATATATATAAGTAAATATTTAAAATTAAACAAAAAAAAAATAAATAAAATAAAATAATATTCAAGGTAAATTATTATAACTGTATAATAAGTAATTTTTAAGGTAACAACGAATAATAAAGAAAAAGTAAAAAAAAAAATGAAGAAAAAAAATTAAAAATAAAATAAATAAAAATTTATTCAAATTTCGTTTATAATTTATTTAGGTTTTTAATTTTGAGTATATTTTTTTTAATTTGAAAATTTAAATAATTTTTTTTTAATTCAAAAATAAATAAATTAAAATTATAATTTTTATATTTATTTTACTCTGATTTTCTATGGATTTTCTTTGTTTTTTTTTATGTTTTTTATTTTTCTTAATTTATTAAAAACACAAATAGCGATTATGCATGTATTTTTGAATTTATTCGAATGTGTTTGTGTATGTAAATGCAAAATAATGTTTTTTTTTATTATTCAAATAAAATTAAGAAATTGTCAATTATTTCATTTAGGTGAACCAACATTATTTTTTCTTCTATTTTTTTGTAATAATTCACAAAAATTTCAAATTTATTGTTAATTTTTTTTTTTTGATTTATTTAAAAATGCAATTTTTTTCATTACCAATTTTTATTTTATTGATTTTTGTCAAAATTCCGGTATTTTGATAATGTATATACGTATATACATTTATATAAAAAATAATTTGAATTTCAATTTAATTTAATATATATGTACGAGTATTAATTTGTCAAATAATTTTTCTTTTTACGTTTTCCTTAAAAATTTTAATTTTTAATTTAATAATAGCAGTTTAAGTCTTTACAAAAAATTTTTTACATTTTCATAAACAATAAAATTTTTTAAATATTTATATTGTATATTTGTAAAATATTTTCCGAAAATTAAATTTATTTTTGGAAAAAAAAAAAAACAAAATAGCATCAACTATATATTGTATATTGTTATTGTTATTAATTTTATTAATTATTTAATATTAATATAGAATTTTGAAAACGAATAATAAAACAAAACATTTCAGTCAATAATTTGTTATTTAATATAATTTTGTAAAGACATTAAATGTACACAATAAATCAAAAATTTAGTTTTTTTTAAATAAATTGTTTTAAAATTACATTTAAATATTAATTGAATTTAATTGTAAATAATTTTGAAGAGAGTTAGATTATTAAGAGCACAAGTTTAAATATCACAATGTAAGATTATTGTGTGAAATTTTAGAAAAAATTTTTTTTTAAATAACAATCCAATTGTAAATTTTGTTAAAGAATTTGTAATTAATTCTTTCGTATGTAAGAATTTTTTTGAAATATTTTATTTCCAATATTTTTATTATAATAAATTTATATTTTTCATATAAAAAAATGCACAAAATTTTATCTTAACTTGTTGGTTTCTTTTATTTTTTCAAAATTTTCTATTTAATTAATTTTTTTTTTAAATTTTAATTATTTTATCAATAATTATTCAATTTTTTTAATTATAATTGTTATACCAATTTGTTATATAAAAAAAAATTGATTTTTTATTAAATTTTTTAAAAAAAATTCTCATATAATTGAAAATAAAATTTTAATTTTATATTATAATTTTTAATAAAAGTGCCTCACAAAACATTTTATAACAATATTGCTGCCGAAATTATATTGACTCTTATATTATTGTTATACTCTAAGTCTTATGGTTTCTCGTTTTTCCTCTCTTTCTTCCTCTCTGTTTCTCTTATTTTTTTTTATTTCTCTTATTTTATTATAGGCATTAATTTTTATTAATACTCTCATTATTTTATTGATCAATTAAAAAAAAAAAATTTTTTTTCCTTTTTTTTTTTATTATAAATTTATTAATTTAATTAATTTTTAACAATTCTGATTTTTTTTTTAATAGTTTCGTTCAATTTTTATATTGGATACAATGTAAAAAAACTTTTATTAATTTTTTTGTTGTGTTTTTATTTGAAAATCAAAAATAAAATACAAAAAAAATTTAATTTAATTTAATTTTCAATTTGAAAAAAAAAAAAATAGTGTAATAAAGAATTTTTAATGACTGTTTGTAAACGAAAAATAAAAACAAAGTTAATAAAAATAAAATTAAAAAAAAACAAAAAACAAAAAATTGAAAAAAAAATATACAAAATATGCACACCGCACACAAAAATTTTTAAGTGAAAGTAAAAAAAAATAAAAAACACAAAAAAAATTGATATTTTTTTAATAATTTCACTTTTTATATTTTTAGTTGCTTTTAATATTCATACATTTCTTATTATAAGGTAAAGTAAGGTAATTTCGTCATGTTAAGAGACTTTCTCGGTTTTTCAACGATGTATTTCAAAGAGTTAATGTGTGGACAATACAAGTATCATTTTTTATTAGTTTGGAATATTGACAAAATTATTTTTAACTTTTTCAGGCAGTTTTTTTGTGAACTCCTATATTTTTTTAAATTTTAAATTATCTCCAAAAGGCATGTAATTTCGTCACTAAAAACTTTGAGTTTTTAATTTCGTCATGTGGAGTTGGTAATTTCGTCATGGTAAACAAAAACTAGGTTTTAATACAATTCATTGGACTAAAATAAAAAATAGTGCAAATTTAAGTTATTTATATTATAATTAATAATTTTCATGCAAAAATTTTGAAGAAAAATCGTGACGAAATTTGAACTATTCAAAAACTATGTAAAATTTCAATTTCGTCAGCACCTTATTTAAGTATTACAATCCGTCGCCTCACAAAATATGATTGAAAATAAAATTTTAGCTAAAGTTAATCTTAAATTTAATAGTTTTTTTTAATATTGTTCAGAACTATTATATTTGTCAAATTTAATATTTAAATTTGCGTTTTCTCGTATTTTTATCATTATTTGTAGAAAAACCTTGCCAATCTACATTTTTCATTACTATTAAAATAGATTGTACCGGTGATACCGGAATAAAATGTAACTGACGAAATTTTATATTTTGACTCGAAACACTATAAATAAAAGTTCTGCATTCAATTTGGTTTAATATTTTAAGTTTCAAAAGTAAATATTCATATTTGAAAATGTTTTAATAAATCACTCGATTTCGTCAATATGACGAAATAATCTCCAACTCTAAAAAATTTGGTTGGTAACTTCGTCACTTAATTTTTATTTTTTTGATATTTCACTTTTTGAATTTTTTTCTTATTAATAATGTTTTTTTAAGTTTAATTTGTCAATATAAAAGCATATATGTAAGAAATTACACATATTTCAACAGATATAACCTTAAGAAACTTTATACTTTTCTTAACGAAAACACTAAGAAAAAGCAAAAATTTGGCCCGATATTTTTTGCAGTAACTAAGAATGTCTTTTTAAATTAATTTATTGTAATTTTTAAAAATTTAAAAACGGGTCTTCTCACTTCAAGTATATTTAAAAACAAAAATGTCTAAAGTTTATTGAAAATAGATGGGGTTTCTTAATATTTGACAAATATGTGAAGGAAGTGCGACCTATGACGAAATTAAATGCACTGACGAAATTACCTTACTTTACCTTATTCATACATGTATGTATGTAGAAATATAAGTATATATGCATGTTTGTATGTGTATAATATTTTTAACAGTTATTTTTACTGTTCAATTAAAAATATTGTGTATTTTTTAACGGTTAAATAAATTTTATGATATTAATATTTTTTTTTTTTTAATTTTATTTTTATTTCTTTACTATTTTTGTTTATATATGTATGTATATAGAGTGTGTTTGTTTATTTGTTTATAATATATTTGTTATAGTTGTTGAAAATTGTATGCACATTAGAGATGCAATTTTTAAATTTTGTTTTTTTGTTTTGTTTTGTTTCTTCCTTTTTTTTTTTATTTTTTAATTGTTGAATATTGAAGTATCCAAATATGTATATAGAGAGAAACAAAATAAAAAAAAAAAATTAAGGGATTAAAGCACTTTCTGATTTTTTATTTTTCTGTTTTTACTGTTTTTTTTTTTTTTGTGTTTCTGTTATTATTTTTCAAATGATATGCAATTTATTTTATTTTCTTGTTCGATTTAATTAATTTAATATAATTATTAATTATAATTTTTCATATATGTATGTATGTATGTGTATATATTATGTAAATAATTAGTATATATATATATAGATAATATGAATAAAATATAAATTTAATTAAAGAATACC